TGGTTGCTGTTTGTATGTCAGTGAATGGAGTTGTATCTCAAGTTGATTGGTTGTAAGGACTATTCCTGACTACAGTGGAGGAGTTGTTGTGCAGGGGCTGACCCTACAGAGCAGGATTGGCTTTAGTGAGGCTCTGGTGCTCGCCAAGTCAGCCCTTTGGGTGTTTCATTCTGGGGGATAGTTGGGTGGTATTTTTGTGGGGTCTGAAGCTGGCCGCTGAATGTACTGGTTCTGGGGCTTCTTGAGAAGGGCTTTGGTGCATGCCAAGATCAGCTGCTATCTGTGTCTTGCCCGAGGCAACTTTGTATGAGCTACAAAGTGATCTGCAGGTGGTTGCCACTTGTGCTGGGCTTAGAGGTGCCTAGAAAAGGCTAAGCTGTGAGCTGAGGCCAGGTGCTGCTAGTGCCAGGTTTTATGCTGCTTATCAAGATGTATGGGGCATGCAGAGGCCAGATGCTACTTGTTTGAGGTTTGTGAACCTTTGAGAGATTTTAGGAAAGTCCGCAACATGAGCCAAGACTGGTCGTTTTTATGTAAAGACACTGGAAGCAGCCTGGGTGGGTCCACAAGTTGGGTGGAGCAGGGTCTCAGGGAATTACCAGAGCAGGGTGAATGGTGTTAGGTTGATGGAGACTCAGATATGGCACCCATCTGCGCATGCACACTGGGTTGGAGGAGGGCTCAATAAAGGAACAATGGATTCTGCCAGCGCTTCTGTTGGGGAGAAAGCTGCCCCTCCAGCCAGTCCATTTAGTTCTTTCCTGTATGTCCCTGGCGACTTTTGAGCTGCTGCCCCAGCACTGGAGCTCAGAGCAAGTAGGTCCATCAGCAAGTAAGTCCATGTACAAGCCCTTTAAGAGGAGTACCTGGTACTCTGGCAGCCCCCTCTGTCTCACTCAGCTACAATCTCCACTAGTTTCACAGGCAGAAGTTGTGAGGACTGTTCTTTCCGGCACTGCAACTCTGGGCTGGGGAGCCTGGGGTGGGGCTGGGACCCCTTGCTCCTCAGGGGGAACTCTACAGCTGAGATAGCCCTCCCAGGTTTTAACTGCCACATGTGGGTGTAGGCACAGCCCATTCTACGTCTCTGCCCCTCTTACTGGTCTCGAGGTGGCTTCTGTATATTCTTAGTTATAAGACTCTGTTTACCTAGACTTCAGGTGATTGTCAATGATGGTCGTTCTGTAGTTTAATTATAATTTTGATGCGGTTGTGAGAGGAGGCAAGCACAGTGTTTACATATTCTGCCATCTTGCCTGGACACTCTTGTAATTCCACTCTTAAGGATATTTATTTTCTAATTATCTTTAAGCCTCCTGTTACTTGGTTATTGATTTCCATTCACTCTTTTAAAATCTCGACACTTTTTTTTTTTTTTTAATTTGAAAGCGAGCAAGATAGTTCCAATGATGGCCAGATAGTGTTTCTGAGAGGGAGAGTATGGGGAGGTGAGGTCAAAGCAAAAAGATAGAGGAATATTTTTTAAATGCACATTTTCTGTCTCCATTCATTATGAGATGATTCTGATATTTGCTTGAACCTTTTCTTATTGCCCTAAATTGCCAGTTGCCTAAGTAAAATGAATGAATGATTAGCTCAGATATTTAGCAAATCCTTTAATACACTGAAGACTATCCTGACATCAGTTTATTCTCTGGTATGGCGTGTGTGGGCTACAGCCACGTCTCGCTGGGGCCTCTTAGTGAGACCGAGACAACAGAGTAAGATCAGGAGTGAAGATGAGCACTCTGAGATCGCCTATCTCTACTTTCAGTTACCTTCCCCCTTCTCATGGTGCCCTCATGCTGCCCCTCCCCTCCACTCTTTCAGAGTCCTCCCCACAACATAGACACACGCAGACACACTCACACTCAGTGCCTCAGGTTATAGCAGAGGTTGTCAGATGTGAATGTGTATCAGAATCACCTGCAGGGCTTGTTAAAGCTCAGATTTCTGGACCTCACTTCCAGAGTTTCTGATGCAGAAGTCTGGGGTGGGCCCCAAGAGCTTGCATTTCAAACAAGTTCCTAGGGTGATCCTGAAGCTTCTGATCTGAGACTCACACTTTTAGGACATATTTATATCTTTCTCTCCTCTTCTAAAAGTCTGGTCTCTGCTTATGATCATTTAGAAAGAATCCATAGCTAATTAATAAATTAATTCCAGTATAGTGGGAAGAACTTGGGCTTTGGAAGCGAGTAAAGCAGGTTCACAAAACCTGTCATTTGTTAGCTGTGTAATGTTGAACAAGAACCTTAACTTCTCTCAGCCTCAGCTTCCGCTGCCGTAAAATGGGAATTCTTACCCTACCTCATATAATTAAATTGCATAATGTGTGAAATGGGCCTAGACAATATTAGATATTTAGTAAATGTCCATTTTTTCAACCCCACTCCCTTTTCTGTTGTGCAACAGCTGGTTCGCACTCAAAGTGTTAATCCATCCAGGAATGTGCAGGATGACAAGAACAATTACTTACGTTCGTACAATTCTTTGCCTTGGCAAAATAAGTCTGTACACTAACTCTTGAAAGAGGTCCAAGCATTTACATTTTCGTCATACACCCAAGATAATTATCAAATGTACCAAAGTTTGACAGTAACTAATCTCATTTTATTCCCACAACAATCTGAAAGATAGTATTATTGATTATATTTTATAGATGAGAAACTGGGGCTCAAAGAGGTGAAGTGACTTGCCACAATGGCACAATGACACAATCCCAAACCTCTGGCTTGTGAACTTAGTTCTTCAATACGAAGATAAAAACCTTTAGTAGTGGTATTTTAGGCATCAGGGATTGGGAAGTGGAGCAGATATTTTTGTCTATAAGACTATTTTTGGCACTATCCGATGCCTGATGGGTGATTTGTATGGGACTTTGGGAAGCTAACTGGTCAGTTTACATTCAATATTATCTGAATATGTAGCTCCCATATTGTTAAAGTAAAGAAAGAAGCACCTGATCCAGGTGTCCTGAATGGCTGACCAAGTGCTGGTTGGCTTTCTGGAATGGAATATTTAGTGACTCCAATGTCAGCCAAGCTTCCTCCTTTCCATTTCTCCTTCTATAGTTCAAACCTTAGTAAGGAAAGGATGTAGTTGCTCCTAAATGTGATTCTGGAAAAACTTTAACCCAGGAAAGAACAAAGCTTGGCTTGAACCATTACCATCAGCCAACACACCACCAGTTGGGTTATTTATACCATAAAAAGAAATAATTTACTTATGAGCTACCTCTTTTCAGCTTCTGCATAATCTAAAATGTCCCAGAAACCAAGAACTGGAGTTGAAATTAACAAAACAAAATATTTACTGGACATAATACATGATTCCTATCGTAATAGTGAAATTTTATGCAGTCACCTATGTTAGAAGCTCACTGTTTAAATAGCCATTTTCAAAGGAGACTGACCTGATCTCATCCTAGATCCTCATTTGTTTCTTGGAAACTCCTCTTGTGCTCCTGTGTAAGGAATGCCCCTCAGGCTACCGTGAAGATTTTCTTTGTACTTATTTGTTTTGACTAAAGGATGCTCGAGAGACAAACATGACTATGGACAAGGGCACTGAAACTATCCAAGAGAGAAATTAATCCTGAGTTGGTACAGAATTTGACAACTGGAAATGGGTTTCTTATACCTGGGGACATTCTGACCTATGTGGTCAAGGCAGCAAAATCATGTAAGCCAAAAATTTCCCCATGAGCTTTAGCAAAGAAATCCCACCTTCTCTTCAAAGAGTATAGTTTATCCCCTTCTGCTTCCAATTAGAAACAGAACGTGGTTTTTCTCGATGTTGATATCTCAAGAATTCACAATAGGCCCCACTGGGGAATATGATACCTGTAACTTGGCAGTTAGATCTGCTGTTTATGGAAAAGAGCTAGAATAGGATTACCTATACCAGGCTGTGAAAAACTTTAGGATTTAAATCGATATTATCACCCTCCTTTTACAGGTGAGCATGAGCCTAGATGGAAGTGGGTAGTAATGGACTCCTGGAGGAAACTGTTCAGTCATTTGCTATCTAAAGTAGACCTTGCCTCCCAGATATGGACAAAGCTACTCATCTTGAACTATCTCCCTTCAGGTGTCCTGTTTCTTAGGCAACTGGGTTATACCAGCCACTGGAATCCTTAGTCAGGGAATTCAAGACAATGGGTAGGCCAGGGTTCTTCTCTATTAGTTTCTGTGAAGTTTTACTTAGTAATAGAACTGTACTGATTTGCATTATAGAATTCTTCTGGACTTAAACCCCAGACCCAAGTAAATCTGATGTATGCCTTACTGATGAAGACAAAGCTGGGAAGAACAGATATTGTGATTACACAAACAATTTATGTGTGATTCGGAAGTGTGAATAATCAATTTGTTAATTGTTTGTTTGTTTACTCATTCATCCATTCGATAAGTATTTATTGATCTCCTGGTCAGAAGGGCACTATACAATCCTAGGGCACACCATTTAGGGCACACCAACAGGTTTTTCCATGCTCTGTATGAAGCTGTCAGGGCACAAGGGACAATCCCGTCTTCTTGGGGCTCACAGTGCAGTGGGGGAAAAGCACAAGTGGTCGGGCAATTGCAATACGGTAGAAAGACCTAAGATGGAGTGGATGGCACCAGTGAACCTGGGAGCTCACAGGTGGGACACATCCAGCTTTGAGGGATGGAGGGCAGCTACTTGGAAAAGACTGCACCAAGAAGACTCTGAAGGAGCAGACAGGGTGTAGTCAGGCTAAGAGGAGAGAGAACAGTCCAGGGTAAAGACGCAGCAGATGCAAATGTAAGGAGAGCAGGGAGAGAAGGTGGGGTAACTAGAAGAAGCCATTTTGGACCAGCCGAGTAGACAGAGGAAAAAGAAAGTTGTCAAAAAAAGAGGAGAGAAGGGGAGGGGAGAAGGAGGAGGAGAGAAAAGAAGAGGAGAGCAGGGCAGAAGAAGAGAGAATGTAGGTAGAGCCTAAAGCTGCCTTTGTTCTCACCCTCTCTGCGGCCTAGTGATCACATTCTCCTGATGTCGCCATGTGACCGCACTGTTCCTACTATTCAAGAGGATTCTAACCACAACTGGGGCTCCTGATAGTCAACAATCTGAAATGCAAGTACGTGTTTTTTGTTTGTTTTTTGTTTTTTAGCATGCAGCTAATAAGCATGCGATTTCCAAAGATTTATTCATCTCATTTATTTATTTAACCCATTGTTTAGGTTCAAACAGCTACTCAGGACTGGAGGGGTAAACAGCTAGTTTTGCCACTTTGTATTAAACACTCCCCCTGCTCCACACTGGCTTCGGTCTATCCACCTAAAGAAATGCTTGCTCTAAATCCTCCCTTCTAGTGTTGAGGCTCAACAGGTGGGATAACTAGAGAAAATACTGGTTGCTGACTTTTCAAAGCCAGATTTCCAACTAATGGTGCAACATACTCTAGCGGGCAAAGTGCTGCAAAAGAAGTTTAAAAACATAAATAACAAAACAAGCGTTATGTCTTTTTACATATCAACTTTTTATCTTCATAATTCCTATACTTAAAAAAACCCTAGTTTAATAAATAATAACTGCTTGACAATAATAACAAAAATAGCTTAACCTTATTTTGGTGAATTCATTCTCTTCTTTCCACTTCACCACTTCCCATTCAAGCATCATCTATTAATTTTTTTCACATTACACCCAGAAACCGATAAAACAAAGTTACTGAACATAAACATCTCTAGTCTACCTCTTTCATACAGTTGTTCCTCATTTTTCTTTTCACTTCCCTTTAAGGAGGATTTTTCTCTCTTTCCTAAATGAGTTCAAGCCCACAATTAGCTTGTGGGGGAGGATCTTATTTTCAAACATTTCCTCATGCAAAATGCCTTAAGAGCTCTAATCCCAATACAATGACCTCAAAAAATATGGTGGCTATTTTTGAAAGAAAAAGAAAAAATTCTGAGAAGGCTAGTGACAAATCAGTAGTAGGCTTTGCCAACCGCTGTAGCCATAAACAAAAACCAGAAAGATTTTCCCATATGCCCTACTTAGTAAACATTACTGGTCTTTATTTTCTTAGCCACACCCTCTAATTATAATCATCATCTTCAATTATTAAAAAAGAAATGTACTATTGGGGTCATCGATGTCCTTCTTCTCATGTCATGCTTTCCATTTTCTTATTACCAACCATTTTTAGTCCATCTCATCATTCCTTTGCATCTATACAACGTGGGTTTTGCCCAAGGGCTTGAAACTGAGCATTTAGCAATCAAATGTCACCAACTATCTTCTTCATTTTACTGGCAGCCATGGGGGACCCTTGTCACCATCCCGCTGACACACTTCACATTCCCTTGAGTGAACCATTTCCCATGGTGTGTGAACCACATTCTATCTCTACTTCTCTCTGGAAGTTTCAATTCTTAAAACTCGGTAATACTGAATCTCTTCTTAATTCCACCCCCCCCACCCCCAAGAAATCAAATTTCTGTCTAGGGGTACACTTTTCTCTTAGAATTTTTTTTAATCTTGTCTCTTATTCTTTTTGCTACCTTCTTTATATGATTCTTTCTAGCCTTGAATCCATTTTGTGTCAGTGTTATCCCTTTCTGCCCAGCTAAAATCGGCAAGATATAGATGCATTCTCTTTCTCTGACATTTTTTTTTCATATCTTAAAGCAAAAAAATCTGAAGAAAATGTGTTCTGCTTATTAAGTCCTCTTAAAAATATGTTTAAGCAATGGTTACCCCTGAGTATGGGATTTGGGTTTGGGAATAAGGATTGAAAGGGGAATGGGGTACCTTTATATTTTATTTTACCTATTTTTACTTAAAGTTTTTATGACAATAATGTACTATTTTTGTAGTGAAAAATATTTCCTGTGTTCAAAAATATCTTTAAATTGTTCAGAAGAGAAAAGGATTCTCACCTAATGCTTTTTCAACTCTGAGATTATTTTCATAACTAAGATTTTCATTGAAAGGAAGAGAACAGAGGTAGTGAGAGACTGTGAGTCTCAGAGAGAGCGTCTCATTCAAAGTTAGCATTCCCTCGCCTTGTGATTCAGTTGTGAACATATGACTACATGCTGTGCACATCACACTATGAACGCTACACACAGAGAGAGCTTAGGTAATTCTGAAATAAAACTAGGTAAAAAATTCTGATGTTCCTTAGGGATTCAAAAGAAAAATGTGGCTCTCGATTTTTCCTGTATATAATTTGATATACTCAGAAATCTTTAAATATCATGTCGCTATTGTAATTAAACACACACACACACACACACACACACACACACACACACACAGAGCTCCCAGTCTCCTGAGGTTGATCAGTTGAATCAGGTTTCTTTTCTAATGCTTAGCACCAAGGTATGGTACTTGCCAGCATCCCAACAAGGATCTAGAGGGCAAAGGGCCCTGCCGAAGGGCAGG